TATTAGGTATTCTTATGCTGTGCACACACTTAAAAGATACGTACACACATAAATAAAAGGTAATATAAAATGAAGAGAAACAGTAATGAAAATAAAAGAGTAAACGTAAAAACACAAAATTAGATGCATTGTTGTTTAAGTATTTTAAAGAGTAGACGAAAACCGGGAGATTTTAAAAACACATTTATTTTCAAAGAATGATTTATTTGATTTGAGGAAAAATGTTTTCTCGCGAGCTACCAATTGAAAGAAACAATAAAACACGATGAAAATAATCTTCTTTAAGAAACCCAAAACTAAAATTACGTTTAATTTTCACTTTAGAAATCGTAGAAGAAAATAAATGTTTTTTAAACAAAGAAAAAACTTCTGTTGAAAAATACGATTGTATCAAATTTAGGATCACAGACGGCCTGATGAGATATTGTCACCCGAAACGAAATTATTTTAAAGGGGTGTTTATTTCATCTAATGAGTGGTTACGTTATTCGGTCGGTGTATAGAGATGAAATGATTACCCCCCGATACAATTAATATTCATTGAAGAACTTCATCAACTCTTCTCGCGCTCTCCTTCTCCAAATCTCGCTCCTTCAACGTGCTAAAAGTGTCGTCTGCGGCGAATTTCCACAGCGCGCGTAAAATTCAACAGATGGTCACATGGAATAGAGGAGCGAGCTGTTTTATTCACGGGCTAGTTAGATACAAGATGCGTCAAAAGTCTCGAGTACTACTTAATTAATTTAAAATGTGTAGGTTAATTCGCCCATTCTGTTCATAGCGCCATTATATATTAATACTAAATGTAGTCGTTACGGCCCACCATTATTATATAGCCTGTACTAAATTGGATATACACGTTATATAGCCTCGTTATGGATTAGGTTTAATCCAGCACCAAATATTAAACAATCTGTCGTCTGCGTCGAAGGATTAACTCGTATAACATTAACAATTATTAAATATTTAGTTACTTTCAGAAATAATCTACGACAAGCTCAAATCACGGCCATATTGGTTCATCGTAAAGTCGCATCGGGATTAATGAAATGAAAAGCGGAAAGAAAATTCACCCAGTGGGCAAATTGCTATTCATTTATAGCTTAAAACTTCAAAAAAACATTATAATAGCCTTTCCTCCCCAGGTTGCCTCCCCTACAATTTTATTTTTAAAATTCCATATTTTCATAAGTTGCCTACTAGGAGAAACAAATACACATTATCCTAGCACATATGTTACAATTTTAGCCAAATTATGCTTCTTTTATTTTATTGTATAATTTGTTGATTTGGGCCCGAGGCTTGATGAAGAGATTATTTCCAATTGTTAAAACGTCGTTTACTGTAAATGTCAACACAGCCATCTTAGAACAGTAACATTTTCTCTCTATCGATTCGTGTTGCTACGTTATAAAGATAACAACTTCTAAGGATAATTTTGAAAAGTGTATTTGTTGAAGAGATGACTCCAAACGAGAACATTAAGAATATATTTTTTTTAAAAAGACTGCCTCTGAATTTGCGGGTTTATATTTAGTTTCTGGTATTTTATTTATCGACCAGTAGAACAAAGTCAAGTCTGGGAATCAACCGGTAAACAACATGGAACGATATATTTAGATATATTAAAGGCCTGAAGATGTTCCCATGAAAACACTAGCCGTAGAATACTATGTTTCTTTCCTCAATATGTTTATTTATAAATATAAACTACGAGCCGGTCGTCAATTAGAATTTTGTAATTCGTTGCTCTGGTTTTTGATTACTGCTTGATTTCTTTCTTTAGTTTAATGGCTATTGTTTTTTGCATAAATAATTTTCGTATTCTAGATTTTGTTGCTGGTTTTTATATGTTTGGGTGAATTATTTTTTGTCATGACCTCCACGTGCGTCATATTATCCGATGCGTGAGGCGAAAAGTGTCTGGACTGCAGGTTATGTGCTATTCATCAGAAAATACACGAACCGGTTGATCCAAATTAATATTTTAATGTTTTACTTCAAACCTTCAACTTTTGACTAGAGATCGTTTTTTAGAGCATGTTTGTTAAAAAAAGCATCCAGAATTCTTAAAATGGCGGGCTGTCGTCGGTATTCAAAGATCTGACGTCTGATGAAACGTGACTCGTGTCCATTTTCTTTCTCGTTCATCTTTTATCGCCTTTTATAAAAATTGTAGTCGCTATTATGAAAATATAAGGAAGATCTCTTAGCTTGAAGAAACGTTTGGCAGGATAACCCTAGCAACTACAGATCGTGCCAAAAATCCAAAAGGCTGCCATTTGAAGGGAACCAAGGCTTTTAAAAGATTTCGTCTTGTAATCTTGATTTCTTTGAACAGTCATTACCGGGAGGTCGAGAAAATACTTAACTTATTAACTTCTGCCTTCGTTTCGTTTGTTCGTTCCTCGGGCTGTATTTGAAACTCGTTGCTCAAAGGTCTAACTGGTTTTAAAATGGCGCCTGATAATTAGACTATGTTTGAGTCTGTGGTTGTTATTGTATCTCGTCAATCCTTCAAGCCGCTTGAAATATACACCGGCACGGCATGATTCCTGCTTCATGAGTTTTCTACTCCAAGTTATAATTTTAACCGCCATTAGTTTATATTCTTCACCAAATATAACAGAGGGTTTAGAATGATTCTTCGTTTAGACACTTAGACGCTATTTGGAATGAGAACCCGTGTGAAATTCCATTCGAGTTTCGGACAGCATTTCTTTGTGGCATGTCATCTATATTTAAAATATCCAGTCTCGAATATATCTTATACATCTTTCATCTTTTCGCGTTTGATTGTAAACATATTTATGGATGTAATTAAAATTTGTCTGGATTAGTTACGCGGTAATTCATTGGTTGTTAAAACACTTGTTAACCAATCACAATTGGCCAGAAACTGCAGAGAAATCCAAAATTGCCTGCCTTATATCATGGGTTCTGTAGTTTCATGTCTCGTATAACGGTTTCAAGCTATTAGTAGGCCTGCAGTTGTCTCATTTTTTTTAAAAAAAAGGCTGGTATGACGATTTGCCCAATCCAAGATCTGTCGATGTGATCCAAATCTTACAGAATACTTCAATCATTATAATAACAATCAGATGATACACGGACAATTTACAATTTGGTTTACGGTAACAGATGAAGATAAAATTATGGGGTCGGGATCGGCAGTACATTGACATAAATATTGCAGATACTATAAATGAATTCACTGCTAATTTTTTCATATATACTAAACTATATAGCTTGTGGTTTCAAGAGTACCTTAACCATCTGAACGAAAGGATAAAAATTATGATAAAAATGATCAAATGAATTTCTTGATAAAATAAAGATAAAATGTACTCGTAAACAAAATTACCATGTGATTTCAGAAGTACCTAAGCCATCTGAACGAAAGGAGAAACGTCCTGATAAAAATGTGGCTTAAGTTTTGTCTGCATCTTGTAGAAATTTTAAACCTATGTCTCGTGCTGTGTACAAGTGCAGTCGATCTCCTTGTGAGTTCAGTTTGTCGTCTGCGAATATTTTCCAATTTTGGAAAACCACATTTGGTTGAACTGCTAATTAAATTAGAGTTAATGGAAGAGAGTGTGGTATTTCGCGTGACGGCAGTCAGCCTTCACTTTTAATCACATTAGTCCAAAAATTTCCCGCTTTAATTTGATCATATCTGTAAAGCAGACGACCTACACATCGCGAACATCCAGTCAATAATCCCCCTGCTGTTTTCGTTTTCCCATATTGCACATGACAGGAGTTTGTAACACGACGAGATGCGTCTGGACGACGGCGTATCATATATTGGTCTCAATGATCGTCTACCCTTTCAATGTTTTGTAAAATTTAGCAGGAATTGTGTGCATGTTGTGAACGAGAGAAGCGCGAGCTGTGACGTTTATTGAATTTGAGTTTCGCCTGTCGTTTGGTCATTTGTCGCTTGACCGGGTAATTTTCCGTCTAGTTAATCACGACTAACGGATGACGGAAATTTGTTGAAACTTCAATAAGTTTATCGGCTGGTTTTCATCGCGCCAGACGACACCATTTCGCGCCATTTATTTCAAATATGTTTGTCCATGCGTTTAAGGGGGATATTACGTTTCAATGATTTGTAAAGTTGATATCAAAGCGATAGTTGAAAGTTTTGACCAGTTTTATTAACAAATCCTCCATGAACCTAAATAGACACATTGAGCCAATAGTAAGTGCAGGGGGTAACGCGAATTTATGTTGTTATAAATTGGTTGTCATAGTTTTAGAAATATACGGTCCTTAGGCATAAAAAGGCAAATAGCTTGAAACATATTTTAAGAATGGAAATTCCGAATCAATTTAAATTAGACTCAAAATTAATCCATTTATGGCAGCATCATTAAGGTCCAAGACATCACTCAAGGATGTTGAAGCAATGGATAACAGACTGATAGAAGGTCCACATTGGCCCTGTTGCCAATGCACATTTTCATTCTGATAGAATATATTATTATCCTGGTGCTTTATACAATATACTAGACTGGTCTATCAAACATGACTCGCTCTTCTGGAAAGTTTATTCGGGAACCATTTGTCTGCGATATCACCCTGGGTGGAGGAGGACGTCAAGCCTTGCCAACAAACAACATGAGCGATAAACATTTCTTATTTTCATATATTTACAACGTATCTATACTATTTATCTTGGCGCTTCGTGTAATAAACATTTCTTCGGTTATATTTACAACGTTTCAATAAATATGTAAACACTGTAATGTTATTAATATAATTAACTTATATAGCGCCTAAAATCCAACCACGAGCTGCCCTTTGGTACTTCACGAAGGTACAACAATGATATACATATAATACAAGATAAATTATCATACACTTAATCAGAATCACAGTAAAAGACACAAGCAAGAACATAAAAGCAGTGTAAATGGTAGAGACTAAAAATAATGTTATAAATTCAGTTTTAATTTGCATTGTTGATTATTTTCTGTTTATTTTTTTTTCAGCTATACCAACCTGTGCCGGATGTAGTGATCAGATATTTGACAGATTTATATTAAAGGTTTTAGAAAGATCGTGGCATTCCAAATGTTTAAAGTGTGCTGATTGTATGATACAACTCAGTGATAAATGTTTTTCTAAAGGTGATCAAGTTTACTGCAAGGACGACTTCTTCAAGTAAGTTTACCTAACTTTATGTTAAATATTTTTCTTTATATTCACAGATATACGTTTCTGATTCGTTTGGCATGCCCTTCCATCATTGTAACATCTGACCAGGCATAGTGTCAAGTCGTTCGGATAGTACGAAAAGCCGAGGTCCAGTGTCACCTTGGAAATCAATTAGTGGCCGGGCACACAGCATAACGTATGTCCGTCTTTACTATCCAAGTTGATGAAGAACAGTATTACGTTAAACAATAGTTCATGCATTAATTCATTTATTCCTTCATTTATTTCCCTATCCATCCATTTTTATGCTCTATTAAATAAACAATCACATTAATTATTTTACAGAGGGGTTATCTATTTGGCGATCGTTGGATATTGGTAAAAAACAAAACAAATTCTTTCCCCACTTGAAATGATTTCACAAATTTGTGAAATCATTTCAAGTGGGAAAAGAATTTCAAATAGGTTGAACGTAAAATTCGAGACATATCTGTCAATGAATTGTTGAATACTCTAGTATACAGGCAGGTCATGCTACTTCTAATTTTGTATTGAGTTCAACGAAAGCTCTTCCAGATCAGTGCTTTGCACTTAGTATGCTTGCTACATCTATTCCAAAGATTACTCTTACTATTATGTAACATAAAACTCGTAACATTTATTTTTATGTTGAAAGTGTTTCTTCCGTCTCAAATGCCTCCATCAAAATAATGAATTTTAAAAATCAATTAAAAATCGACATGGCGAACATTTTTGTTACTTGAAATATCTATCTTTATAAATTAAGCACCAGTAATGTTGAAATAAAACAAACAAATAAACGAATTATTCTAGAAGGTTTGTTTCCATTGACATCCATTGAAATCACGGAATCGGAAAGAATCGATCCCTCTTATCCTTGGTAATTAGTAAAGATTTTATATTAATCTGTGGATGGAAGTTGTAGTGGAACTAAAACCCAACGGGAAGATGCCCAGGCACGCATCCCACTCCTTGTCACGAACTCCTCCTTCGTTCCGTTTTACTTCCAGTTCTAGCGACAGATGGAAGTCAGTTTAAATGGCGGGAGATAGACAACCATTCCTCACGTGCGGTTTGGAATGAAATCCGTAAGATAATTGTCACGTCACGATCAACAAACAAACTACAAGCCTATAATAAAAAGAAAGGGGGTACTCATTGCCTCCTAACATTTGGTACGGATTTTTCTTTAGGGACGCTGAATTATTTGATCTCTAATATTGGCCAGATTTCACAAAAAGAATTATAATTGTTACTACAAGGCGATTGTGTTGACCATTGCGCATCCCGTGCGTTTATTCTGCAGATCATTAGGCTGTGTCAATAAACTCCCGAATCAAAGAAACTACATAATGTTCATATCTTAAACTGTCTGTCATCGATAAACAGAATCAATCCACTCAATGGGTGGCTATATTTCAATTGATAAATATTCATAATCTTTTATAGGCTGCATCCTATCGACTTGGCCATTCTGATGAATTTATTGTATATACAAATTGTATAGGCCCAGGATCTACGTATTTACTTTTACAACCAAATATTGTAGACTGAAAAATTATCACTTGTGATGTTGGTGAATTTCAGACATTTCCTTATGATAAGAGATCTTGTTATTTTTTCATTAGCTAATGTTTATATTTACCAACAGAAGTGGAATTATGAACCAAAGGGTGTCTTTTAATATTAATAAAGTGATATTCTTATAAAACAGTGACTTGGTATGAGCTATAGTAATCAAAAAGAGCAATATTCTCACAAAATATAATGTCTCGATTTGTATCGTGCAAAATAACTTGATGGCTTTATGTAAAAGTTTAATGGGTTGGGGAACTTAAATCTTTGTTGACCTACAGACTATGCTACCTCACTTTCAGTACACGAATAACGTATTTTAATAATAATACCACTATCATGTTTTCCTGCTTATTTTATTCCGCATATAAAATACACAGAATTTTCTCCACAGTATCTTCCGCATATTATTAGCTAAGTATTATTGAAAACGTGTTTAACCAATAAAACGGCTTACGCAGACGTTCAACTTTTGAAAATAAACATAAGCTACTGTTGTCCGTAGAACCGGATTGAGATTTCAAGGACTTTTCAATGACATTCGAACATCCTACTTATTTTTACTGACAAATTATTTTCTCATATCAATTTTTTGATCTGTGAATGCATGACGAGAAGCACCCATTTCGCTTTCCGCTATTGATCTTAGGATAAAGCTTTATATTAACGCTTTATAGAAACCCCCCCCCCCCACCAATAATAATAGAATATATATATATAATATTTAGAATAAAAAATATATTATTTAATAGTGCGTTCAGGAGGACCGCAGTATACGCCAACAATACCTGTGGACAAGACAAACTGCACAGACCTTGAATTAAACAAATGCAAATTCAAGTGAATCATGGATCCAGGTGTCAACCGCAAGCGTCCTGAAATTCAGACTTATTGTATATTGAAACGGATCTATCCTGTTTCTCGACAGGTCTGTGTAATAAAAAAAACTAACGATTCGGATTGATGATTTGATCTATAAACCAATAGCGTCCGTTAAATAATTTGACTTTCATCAATGCGAATTAAAAATATTTTTTCCTTGAATTATTTCATGTACTGCAAATTTATATTGCCTGGTATACGGCCATATTTTCTCAGATGCGATTATTGTTATGAGACGTCACCTATTTTGTTTAAATACCTAAATTGGACGAAATGCGTTTAACCGCAACGTTGTATATACTTCTATTATAATCGATTTTTCTTAGAATGAAGATAAGTTGTTGGAATCATTGCATTGGACATTGGACGAAATTATTTTAGCTGGAACTTTGTATATGTTTGTATTTTCTTTCGGAATTATGTCATAGCATTCACGATTTTGTATTATAATGAAGATTAAGTAGAAATAATTTTACAGAAGGGATTATAATCTAAATGTATCTATGATGAGAAGTAGGGAGTAATAAACCGTTATATCGCGTGATATCTCCCGGTATTACATCTGATATCATTGGTTTCTATCGCAACAAGATGTATCGAGGAACGGGGCGCGTGCATTCACTCACGCGAGGACCTGACATCTATTGGGATCGTTTGAAAGATTAGAATCGCGAAATTCAGGTGAAACCTATAAATAATTCAGTCATGTTGATTCCACTGGGAGAAAAGTTCTAGTGTTTTCAGGAACTTCAGACATTTCATGCAACTTGGCACCGATCGTGCTTATCAATTATTCACCACACTATTCTATTGTCTCGTCAAAAATTGACATCTCGCATGCGCGCGCAGTTTCGCATGGGTGATTTGGACTGGTTTGAACGTCATTAGTCTCGATCGTCATATTGGGTCTTTTATTTATAAATTACTAAACCTAAAAGCACCCGGGAGACCGCGGCACATCAAAAATTTATGAACTTATAGAGCGCTCTGTTAGTATACCTGACTCGTGTTTCATGGACCATGACGGGAGTGACGCTCATGATGGAAACGTCTTTGATGTACAACGAGGAGAATAAGATAGCATGCTTTAGAAAAGATAATGCAAAAACATTAAAAATAACCTAGAGAAAAAAAATCTCTCGACAAACATTGAGAGAGAAAACTAATTTTACAAATGGGATGGTGAATTTAACAAATGCTGGGAAATTATAAATAATATATTGCGATATTCACGGGTGTCTGTGTCTTCTGGCTTATACACGCAATTATTTATTGCTAAAAAAATCTTTCATTGAACGGACGAAATATTGTTTTTAAAACATTTATTGCGATATTATCTACAAAAGAAATATATTTTAAAAAACAGGAAGGCGATTCTGACGCGTTTATTTTTAATTGCTAGCCAGATCCATATCTAATGTGTTTTGTTTTCCGATTGTTTTGGAACGTCACTGTAAACGTACAGAATAAAAAGAGAATAAAATATTAATACTAAAAACAAAAGATGAAACTAGGCTGTATTTAATACACAGGTAACGGCTATTAGTTAATTACATGTTTTATTAATTACTAGTAATTACAGGCGTGATGTCAGGTTCGTCGGAAATTGTCCTGCACCATTGTTCAATTATTGTACGATTTTGTCGGAATGTAGGGAAAACAGCTATAAATGTACAAATCGTCTTGGGTAAAAGTCAATGGATGGATGTGAAAAGGCTGAATTAATTCTGTTGAAGTTAAACAATAGGACATTTGGAAATTTTCTTGCATCACTGTCCATTTATAGTAGCATTTTTACCTTAACGCATTGTAGGGAAGACACAACTGTTTAATTATTTTAAAATTGTGCCGGAACGCATTGTAAACGCGAGTATGGATATCACGGGGTAAAAGAAACAAAGGCGGACATAGACACAACAAACAATGTAAAATACAAATATTCCCTACATATTCTAAGAGAAAATCTGAAATAGACACAGACAGAACGAAAAATAAATCTAGAACAGTTCTTAATGTGCGTTTTTACATATAAATCAAATTCTATATTTTTAAAATGGTGATTTTCTTAGGTGATTAAAATGTATTAATGAATACATGCATACCCCCCCCCCCTCCTTTCCCCCGATTAAAAATAAATAAATATATATACAGATTTCATGCCCAATTATTGGAATAAAGTTTAGGATTGTAGAATATTAGGAAACGGTGCCAAACAAATATTCTTCGCAGAGGGTCGCCACGGGAAATGTTGAAGGAATGCGATAACCTCTTCCGATTAGTTAGAGTCCTGGAAGTTTCCATTTTGGGCTATAGTTGATACTTTTAGTACCTGACTGGAGGTACCCCAGAAATTCGAGGTAAATAAAATGTGGAAATATGATAATACCTGGTTGAATATAGAGAATATCTGACTGAAGATATCTCATATTTTCACCGTACAAAATATAGATTAGAATAAATGGAAAGACATGTTGACTATCCATTTCCTTCAAGGGGATTTATTGTCAATATTCTAATTATCTTCTGGTAAATTCCTGTTTACCTGTACGATAATACATTTTTACTTGTACAATAATTTTTAATTCCTTTTTTATATCTAAATCTACTTAAGACGAGAACAAGTTAATATGAAACGGGGAGTGTGGTTATATCACATAATGTGTAATTAAATCAACGACTACAAATAAACGACCTTTTCAGGTAGCCGAAACCCATTTCACCTGTATTTAATAGGTTTATATGAAGTATGTGTTTTATTGGAAATAGAATCTGGTTTATTATGATAAATTTATCTCTGTACGACACTCCCATAATCCTACTTTATTTCCTGTTCAACTCAATATAATCCTCTCACGTGCACAATAGAAACTATTCACGTGACGTACACCTCAAGATAACATCTCGTGCACTGTAGAACGAGATTTCTACACGGTTGAACGAACAAGTATTGTTTAATAAGAAATGCGCCATATGGAAAGGGAATTATTAAAAGTATTTGGTTAAGAATTTTACTGTTAGCTCGGCAAACGAAGCTTTTAATATTTGTTAGCCTGGGATTTATTTTAATGGCGGAGGGAAACGAAGGGGAACGGGTTTAATGAGATATGGATGAACTAATGTGTAAAGCTTCTACCATCCTTCTCAATTCACCGATAATTTCCGATTCTATGTTTTACTGTCCTTTCTTTTAACGATACAAACAACTCCATCTGTTCAATTTTACTCGGCATTCTATAAATAATATAAAAACTGCTCTGATTTTCTTTGTTTATATCAACATATTATAAAAAAACAAAAAAAAAACATCATGTGGTTATATTTGGTTCCCGATTCTCATTTCATTTTACACTGAATTCAACAGTTCTCCAACATTTGATACCCATTTTTAATACATTTATTCACCGAGAAATTGATTTCCGATTCTAACTTCTTTTCACACTAAATTCCAAAGTTCGCCAAAATTTGACACCCTTTTCAATTCTTTTATGTCGTCTTTAATGTTTAATACATTTCTGACTACACTTTACGATGAATTCGAAAGTTGTCGAAAATTTCACACCTTTTTTCATTTTCTTATATCGTTTTATTGTTTAATACATTTATTCGTCGAGCAAATTTACCGATCCATTGCTGATATTTAGCACTGCACACCCCACGTGTTACACTGAAGCCTCTCCCAAATTACAAATGTTGATTTTGTCGCTTGCCTGATGTATTCATTAACGTATATTTTATTTTCAGGCGATTTGGAACAAAATGTGCTGGCTGTGAAAAGGGAATTCCCCCTACAGAAGTTGTCCGACGTGCCCAGGACAACGTCTACCATCTCGACTGTTTTGCTTGTTTGATGTGCAGTGAAAAATTAAAAACTGGAGATGAATTTTATTTAATGGAGGACAAGAAACTCGTCTGTAAAGAAGATTATGAAACAGCAAAAGCCAGAGGTTTGTACATAAATACTTTTTGGTTGAAACCCTGGTCGGTCTTTCGCGTAAACAAATTGGTGATTGGTTAAATTGCCCAAACTAATCACCCATTGGATAAAAATTGTCATTCACTTTGTCTGTAAATTAATTACGGATTAGTTAAAACTGTCCTCTGACTTCAGTTCTGTTTTTTTTTGTGTGGAACATTTAACACTCCTTCGTTTCCAACATCTTAGCATAGGCTATCCACACATCCGCTAACATTATGGATTTTACGTATTTAAATTATTTTCATGTTATCTGAGATGTTTTCTAATTGCTACATTTTCGAAATCAAGACCTAAAACACATGGAAGAACGAAAACGAATAATTTAATTTTTGTTGCCAGCATCAACTCAGAATTTACAGGTTTGACTCTTTCAGAATACGAGATGGATTCATCGAATAAACGACCAAGGACAACTATCAACGCTAAGCAGCTTGAAAACTTGAAACGGGCCTACAACGAGAGCGCCAAACCTGCCAGACATGTTCGCGAACAACTGAGCGCCGAGACCGGACTGGATATGAGAGTGGTGCAGGTCTGGTTCCAGAACCGAAGAGCGAAAGAAAAGAGGTTAAAGAAAGATGCCGGACGAAATCGATGGAATCCTTATTTTAGACAGGTGAAACGTGAAGATGAACTGGACAGTTCATTAAGCGCTGATGAAAGGTCAGATGATGGTATGACCACAGGGTCATTTCAAGGTAATATTTACTAGCTCTTAAAATACCCCACAACTGTGTCTAGTCGTTTGGATGGGACACAATTTCAAGGTTCCGTTTTCATGTTAGCGTGACAGTTGGAATTCGGTTGATGTCCCTATAAAGTGTCTCTTATAGCCTACTGTATGGTGTATTTCCGTGATCAATAGCATAGTTGGTACAGAAAAGTTGGACGAGCAACACCATTTTATTCATTCACATACCCCACACCGTTCAGATCATGGATAACACAATAAATAAAAGAGATGATTGAAGAGTATGTAGTTTTGTTCTTCTTCAAAGTTTGTCTAATCTGTAAGTTTAAAAATAAATAACCAGTCAGTTTTTTTCTAGTATATATTACTTAAATTAATAATTATATTTCTGTTTCAGGTAATCTGGACGACCTTGATCAGGGATCTTTGAATCATGGTCGACTATCGGCTGACCTGTACGGACCAAATACACCTTTAGATCATGATCTTCAGATGGTTCAAGGTCATAATAACGGAAGTAATGGATCGCCACCTATTGACGGTTGCTGGGGTCCTTTTAATCAACTTCCGCCATACATGGGACGTCAATCTCCCGGCATGCCACTGACACATCCGCAAATGATGCCAATGGAATCTTTACAAATGATGGGATCTTCTCAAGGACCCCGAATGATGTCCAGTGATGGCGATGAACATTCTGGGGGATTCCCCGATTACCCACAATCCTCTTCACATAATCACGTGGAAGTGTACTGATGAATACTATCACGTTTAGGGATTCCTGACATTACGCGTTGAACTGAGTGACGTGAAAAAACATGGCGGAACAGGAAGTGATGCTACGATATCAATGTGTGGATAGAACTAGTTTTAAAAGCGAGCCAAGAACATTGAAACCCCGACAAAACTCGATATCCTAATGCGAATGGCGTGATTGAAACAAACATATCCGTACGTGGTTTGGTGCTAAACGTTGCACGAATGTGCTTTTACGTCATCAGTTAGACAGATCTCACTATACATAAATGACGGAACTGGTGCGTTGACACATTTTAGTTTATTCTATTATTCAATGGATAGAAACAATATTTTGTGTGAACTTTATTTTAAACTTGATCTCGAAGTCTTAAAACTTTTTGTTAATTAGAAAAATGACGTTAAATGCGACAGGTCTATGGATTGTCTCGTCATGTCCGGTCACAATCGAAGATACATTTTGAAATGGCAAGTATGTTCGGGTAAATACATGATAAAGGTCAGCATACATGATCGTATAAACGATAAATCCAGTGTTGAGTTGCATGCGATTTGATACTGTGTCGTATGCGACAGTGTTTGGGTATTGTGTCGTGTGGGACGAACCTTGCAGCTGAACACTGAACGAATACTGCGGTACGTTACTTAAACACCTGTAAATAAATAAAATTATTTATTGTAAATCAAAAATTATCCATAATATTGTATAAAATCTATGTTTTTCTTTCTCTTCGTAATGGTGGAGCTGGGGTTAGGGTCGTATATGTTATAACTTTGATATATCCCATACGTAAAGATAAAATAGACATGTTACGCCATCCTTTGTGTTTGGCGTACCACCATTTCCAATAATGTACGGGCAACGTGCCAAACCTACATTATGTTTATACTGGATGAAATATTGGACTCGAGTGACGATTTCATCGAAATGCACGTGCAGTATAGTGTTTGTATTTTAAGTAGTTTAATGGTCTCGAGCAAAGACATTGCGTAATATATTGAAACAATACTCGGACTAACGTCCCCGTACAGTATCAATATTTTACTTAATGGCTCTCACTCGTCCATTAAACAACACATAAAGAACTTCGATGTTCCTAGTATCTTAATGGTATTGAACTTCGGTATACTTTTCGAGATTGGGATAAGGATCTTCTGATACTGACTTCTGATATTGAACGTTAGTAGGTCTATCCCCCAGTACTTTTACGATTGCTTTTACGTCACACGAATATGGCCTTAAAACCATATAACCTTTGAACTTTGACTAATAACCTGTGACCCCGGATGTAAATTATTTTGTATATAACACAACCTTAAAATGAATGATGAGTAACTCTAGTCAATAAAACTCTCTCTCTCTCTCTCTCTCTCTCTCTCTCGCTCTCTCTCTCTCTATCTATTAGTTTAGGTCTATATATGATTTTAATATTTGTACATTTACTTCAAGGCGCAACTAGTGTGATGTGTGATATGACACTGCACCAATGTTGATATTACAAGCAAAAGGGCTGACTGAGGCGAGACGGTGTTAGGGTGGGGTGGGGTGGGGAGGGCGGTAACTATATGTTCAAACTTAAAGTGGGCTTTTATTTGTTTGTGTTTGTTTATTTTTAAAGCTCAATTCCTAATGATTATAAATAATACATTCACCCAATACGTTCCTCGTGCAATCAAAATACGTTTTAATTTATTTATTTATTTATTTTTTTGACGTTTTATTTACTATTTTAATGCTATGTTCAGTGTCTGTATTATAGGATAAATATCTAAATTATATATTATATATATTTACAAATCAGATATATGTTAATCTTGTTACAAATGTGATTCTTTTTCATTTTATTTCGTGTAAATGTTTAAATAAATTCATTCCATGAATACTTTATTGTTTGTCTGTAGTTATTTTGTAGTAATCAATCGCGGGAGAGAAAAGAAATGGGGTTTAACGTCAACTCGACTCAAACTAGGTCATTTCGAGACTAACATATGGTTCAATTTTATTTCAATAGGGGTCTTTAGCAGTGGGAGGAAACCGAAGAACCCGGAGAAAACCCACGAGGTTGGACAGGCGATCCTACTCCTTGTCACGTACAACTGGGGAATCGAAACCACGCCAGTTGATTCAATGACAGACATTAGGATCCCCCCCCCATCCCACACACACACACACACACAATAGCAAACTAACACAATATTCAGGGATTGTGAAAAGGGAATCTTTAAATGAAATATCAGCCCAGAAAATGTTCCATATATTTACAAATAAATAATTAGATGTTTAATCATTATCCCCCGCATATTTTAAGCGGAGAAAAATTAAATGTTCACCGAAAAATGAAAATCTTCGACTTTCTTCGTAGCCTGCAATTAAATTATTTGTGCAGCAATACTGGCTATAAATGTCAGCGAATGCTCTTCGAGACGTGGCGCAAATAAGCATGATTTGCATAAGTATGTGTTATAATATACAACTAGAACGTTACAGTTTATAACTAAAAACTGTATTGTCACACTCTGAATTTAAATTAAAGCATACCGCCCTTGTCCATGTGACTGGATTAAATAAAACGGTACCAGGTACATTTAATTGCTTCTTGGGTACCTGGGTATAACTTTCTCAGACAGGAGACGGTGTTGGCTCTCCGCTACATTGGAAAAGCTGGGCACAATTTCCAAATCTGATTAAAATGCATATCTATATTTCGTTTCGTTTTATTTTTATACTTTCGATGGCCCCCAATGAAGATCTGACCTGTTGACTCTATGACGTTAGACATTGGATTAGGCAATCATCGTTGATGTTTCTAGTGGGATATCCACAGATCCGCGCACCGCACGCCAAGAACTCGCACAACAGACCATTTCATTGGCTAATCTCTCACACCAACAAGTACGTGGGTTATATAACAACTCGTCCAGATCCTAATATAGTAAAGACAAGTAAATCGAAATTTTGAACTATGAAAAAAAAAACGAAATAAAATAGGATCAGTGTTTTAATCAGATTATCAATTTCCTCGCCAGTCCCACAGTCATTGCACATCTATTTAAAATTGAGACAGAGCAGTGCCCTTCCGGATTGGAGTATATGATGAGGATAGATCTATTTCTTAAGGCTACCTCAAGATTCCAAGGTAGCTATTATGTAAATAAGATTAGGGCACGTGATTGTTGACGAGATTGTAGGTTTGGGTAAGGGTTAGGGCTAGGTCCCGGGTTAGGTTTAGGGTTGGGGTTAGTGCTAGCCATGATTACATCTCGTGACCTTTGACCAAATATGGAGGTGGCCTTAAGAAATAGATCTAACCGACATGCGATGGGTATGAATTGATCATTCAGAACGAATGAATATACTACCCGACTGTATTGAATTGACGATCAACAACGAGAACAAAAGTCTTCGTTTTCAATAGGAAACAGAAAATTAAAAACTGATTGATCGACGCCAATCTTAAGAAGTCTTCAAACACTTGGTCTTTACATTACGGATGAATATGGTTTGCGGTTTGTTGTTAAAACAAAGAATTAAGAGAGAAAAATCCGGAAAGAATTTGTCAGGCTTTACAGAGTTACACCAGCATGTACAATAGTCAGAATTCCATTCCTTGCGTGATCTGCTCTTCTCAATCAACATCCACCATCGATCTAAAGTCGTATAAAATGAATGGTTGAATGACGTCTTCCACTCAAAGCACCGAGAGCCAATCGACCGATAGAAGAACACACGTCATGGAACCTGTAACTTTATGATCGTGTATGGAACTTGAGTTGTATTGTACACACAATAAGCCTTATGTTTTCTTATGAATATAATTCTGCGTTTTATCGCACGGAAGGAACTCTAAATTTAGGTTTCCTTCAGAATAAATTTAACTGATATTTATGGAAATGTCAATAAAAAAATTGACTTCGGGATTGTTGTTCTCAGGCCAGATTCCAAAATGCTTTTTAAAGGAAATAATTCTTAGTTGGAATGGCATGGGATTGAACGCATGCAGAACGTATGTCATGTTATGTATAACGTGATCCGCTCGATCCCGGATATTTGTGGGATAGCCTGATACCTGAATTATTCAATAAAAGATATACCCTGTACGATAATTCCACAATGACCGGATGTCCAGTGATCGCCATTGAAGAGTTTTAATCCCCTGCAAATTGGATCTGTAAACGGAACACCCCTCAAAAATTAATTTGATTCCCTTCAGTATTAGCAAAGATATGCATGGTGGCTTATCGTTACCATTCAGGATTTAACAAAATTTCTTTAAAAACCTAAATAAAATGGAATGAAAATGAAAAACAAAGTCAAAATCAAAAGTAAATTAAAAGCAGAAGTTCAACCAAAAGCAAAAGTTAAATCAAAACTAAAAATTAAATCAAAGGCAAAAATAAAAATAAAAGTAAAAGAAAAACCAAAATGTAAATTAAAATCAAAACACAAATAAAAACTAAAATCATTTTTAAAAGTAATTTGAAATGTAAAACAAAAGTAAAAGTAAAAAGCAAAATAAAAATGTTTGTCGGCCTATCGCTATCATTCAACGTCCTTGACCTCAATCGGTAACCGTCGGCTATTTCCGACCACTTCGACCACACTGATCAGCAGTGAATATTCGCTAGGCCGCTACAATCACTGATAAGGATGACATCAATGCGACTTAATGAGTCTCAAATATTAACTTTTTTCCACCGACAAATTAAATTCTAAAACATTTTTTTTTGATGTATTAGAAAAATAAATAAAGACGTTTGACGTATTTGTAGGTAAAAATTATTTCCTATTTAGTGTATATGGGTATTAAAATGACTAAAAGGCAGCATTCTGCCCGAAGCAGTAACGTCTTATGTAAACAATGCACACGCCAATCAGCCAATGATTGACGCCGCGTGCTGTGACGGCACGTGTTAAAGGCAGTCATATTTTACAGAGATATTAGAGGACTCGTAATTCTCTGTGAAACAGATTGCGCTTCGACTCGACGGTTTGTTCTCACACGGTACAAATAAAACTGAATCAGAAAAGTATTTTCTTATGGAATGCACAAAGTATAAAGATTTGCGAACACAATATATATATCCAACCGTAAACATTACTGATCAAACCTTTGTTTACTTTTGATTTTGACTTTGTTTTTATCATTTTCATTTCATTTTATTTAGGTTTTTAAAGAAATTGCTAAGTGGGAAAGACGCTGGCTCGCTAGCCTGGAGGTCGGATGTTCGATCCCTGCATTGGCCGAGAAAGTTCATCCAGATTTTTCAGCGTGGTTCCCCCTTGTCAGTGATGCAGGACGGAGGGCCTGACAAGGACAGTTGTCTAGTCCTTCGGATGAAACGAAAAACCGAGGTATACATTGGAATGCACGTAAAAGATCCCTTGGCAGTTGTAATTCGATATAAGAGTAGGCGATAGTGCCGCTGTCCGGGCAAAATTTCCCTCATAGCACACTGTATGGCGTATGCCCGTCTTCATTAGCCCAGCATAAGAGCAGAACAGTAGGACGTTAAACCCCATTTCATTTCATTTAAAGAAATTTTGTTAAATCCTGAATGATAACGATAGGCCAACATAGATATGTCTAAAAGAAGCCAGCTTCATCTGTAATCTCCGCTAAAATCCTCTGGTGGGCCTCTTTCTAATCAGTTTCAATGCAAGTCGGAAGTTTATCTTCCATTGAAAAATTTATTTGATATTTCCAATTAAATGATAAACATTCTAGCTGTGAAAAATAAAAAAAAAGATAATGGCAGCGGTTTTAAATTAACCACTTGAAAATAAAATGGGTTTTAACGTCCTACTGTTCTGCTCCGACTGGGCTAATGAAGACGGTGGTGTGTGTGTGTTGCCTATACAACACAAAGCACCGGGATCGAACACTGGACCTCCTCGTTAGTGAGCCAAAATCATACTCACTGGGCCACTGTGGCTTCTCGTTTGAAAATGAATTGTCCAGTAATCCGTTAAACTGAACCCTATGATGACAATTTTAATCCCATTAATCGTTTTTGTTCATTTATTATGTTTTTTTAATCGTGCATACCTTGTTGATCTATCGCCATGTCCATTTCAATTTCAATATCCACGTTCATCCTATAATAAATGAAATGGGGTTTAAAGTAGCTAAGTCTTGAACCGAATATCACCCACAGTCTTAGACATTGAAAACGCGAATTATTTGTCAATTTCAATCAACATTGATCTCGTGGTCTTACCAGAAAAGAAAAGCTGGGCGTCTGATATCCAATATTAAAGACAACATAAACGTTGAACATTGGTACACGAATTGTGTACCAGAATGCATTTCAGTGCCATGTAACAAGGGACTCGAAGAACGAGACTAGATATATCGCATGGTTCATGTCAAACGGTGACGTCATATTCCTATCTGGAGAGCATGCGCAATAAATACTGCCAGTGTAGACTGGAATAACCAGGCTCTAGAGGTTGGGATTTGATTGAGACTTCTCCTGTATTTCACCGAACATAACTAATTTGAAATTAGAGTAAAAACGGAAACGATTGAATG